TGTGTGTGTTGTACCGCACAGCAGGGAGGCAGGAGGTGGGCTAAGCCATGCAGCCGCCCAGCCAAGGCTCTGCCCGTTGACGCTCCATGAATAAGCAACCCGGAAAGCTGCGCAGGGGAGCTGGCGGGAGCTGTGCTGCCAGGCTGCTGGGGCTTAGCCCTGAGCCACCTCCCCGCAATGCCTGGCTTTCTATGCCAAAATCTGCGAGTGTACACGGCCAGCGAGCTCTGCGATGCCAGCCCCTTCCCAAAAGCCCCCCGCAGGGAGGCTCTGCCCAGCCCTCGCCATGGCCAGCTCCTGGTTCTGGTGCTCAGAGGCTGGGGGAGAGCAGAGCCCCTGGAGGCTCGTCCATGCTCGTGCATGGAGGCCCTCGCCTGCTGGCTCTGTGTCACCTTCAGCAGTGCCAAATGTGTACAGCGAGCGAAGGAAAGGTGTGAGGGGAGGTGCTGCCCCCCTGCTGCCATCCTGCAGCCCCCACAACGGGCATTTGGGGCTCCCTGGGGTGCCTCCGGCCAAGGCCGCGAGCAGCACGACATGGAAGCATGTGCCTACCTTGAAGCACATGAGCAATTCCAGCTGCAATCACATGCTGAAAGTTAAACCACACGCTTAAATGTTTTGCTGGATCGGAGCCAGCTTTCAGAAGGACTCCACTGCTGGGGGAAGGTGGAGGCCGGTTGTGGATCTGGAGTTCCCAGGCGTGGGACAGGTGCGATGCTTGGCACAGGGTTTGGGTGGCACACGGTGCCAGGTGTTTCCCAAAATGTCACTTTGGTCTGGGAAACTTGTTTGGGATCCACTGGGATCCTCTGTGTGGCAAAGCATTGGCAATGGTGTTGGTTTTGGGTATGGCCAGCTAAATTGTTGACCGTGTTGTTGATGGTGAGTTTGGCTCCTCTCAAAATAAAGCTGCCACCACCCACCCAGGGAGCTCACCATCCTCGTACAGTGGGGATTGGACCCTGCTGGGAAACTGGAACGGAATATGGGAGGTGAGCAGAAAATCCCAGTTTAGAAAACATTCACGCATGGATTTGCTGGCTGGTTTATTCAGTAGAGAAGCCATTTGTTTCATAGGTTCACAAGGAGGCTGAGAAAAGTGAGGGCTTAGGACTACAGAAGCTCATCACCCCTGGGCAGTGAAGGGCCCGTTGGCTTGGATGAACGTCACGTTCCTGGGGCTACACCCGGGTAATCGTGGCATTCAGTCAGCTCCAAAACCCACTGAGCTCATGGGGATTTTTTTGCTCTTTCCAGTGGATCGTGCATCAGGCCCAGGAAGCTCATGCTAAAAGCCACTCGCACCACATTTCCCAGGTCTCACATTTGGTGGCAGATCTGTCAGGGACCCTCCTCCCTCGCTGCTCCAGCGTGGGGGTCCGGAGTTCCCGGCTGGCCTTGTCTTGGCTGTTGCAGGCTGCAACCTGTCGTAAAGCAGCTCAGCGTTTGTGGCTCCTTCCCAGCCCAGCAGGGACGTTGGTCAGCACGAGCTGTGAGCTCAGTGCTGGTTTCCATCCCTCCTGCTTGCGAGGCTCTCATTATTTCTTGCTTTGTAAAGCAAAGTGCTCCCAGACTCTTTTCACTTTGCTGCTCGTGCCAGATGAAACCCACGGCCCGTTTTGAGATGGAGAGCTTGGACAGGCAGCAGCCGAAACACTGCAAAGCTGTGTCGGTCTGTGAGATCTCGCTGCCTTTCTGGTCTGCCCCAAACTCCTCCTTGCTGGGCTGGGGAGCGTGGCGGCATGTGGTGAGGGCTGCCTGCTGCTTATCGCACCCTGCTGCGGCCAGGATGGGTGGCACGGCCCCACAGCCACCACGATGCTCCTTTATTATTTGCAGAACAAACAGAAACCTCGCCGGTCTGGCAGCCGCGGGGAAGGCGAGCTGCCTGTGCTCACATCTGCAGCCTCTGAGGTTCTTCAGAAGCCCCTTGGCTGAGGCCGGGCTGAATGTAGGTGTTGGGGCAGGTTTTATTCATGCGATTCTCCTTTCTGTTGTTTGCTGTTGTGGTTTTTCAAGCGTGTTTAACCCGTGTCGTTGGACCAAACCTTGGAGACTTGACCCTGGCCACCTCGTAGGACGTTCCTTTGGAGCGAGGAGGAGGGAGCTGCCGCGGCTCCTTGGGGATGTGCTGGTTTGGGTGGCAATGTGGGTGAAGGAGGGCCCCTGGCTGGGACCAGCCGTCGTATCTGGTGCCCATCCAGCTGATGGTCATCGGTGGGGTTTCACCGATGGGGACCCAGCTCCATTTCGTGACTCCTGCAGTTGCTTTGGGGCCGCAGGTTGAGCCCTCGTGCTGGCAAACAATGGAGGCACTCAGGGGTGAGCAGTGACTTTGGTTTAGAAATCCCCCAAATCAAGTTTTGGTGAAAGGGGATTCTGATTGTGCCTCATCTAGCAACCTTTTAATGACATATATAGTAATTCTGAATATCTGAAGGAAAAAAAAACCACAAAACTCTCCTGGCATGAGCTGGAAAGAACCATTGAACAGTTCCTCATTCATCTCTTCCCCCTCTGCCTGATGCAGTTTGTCAGATGAAGATGTGATCACTCTTGTGGTTTCCTTTTCAGACTTTTTTTGCACGGCAAAACAAACGCGATATTCACTGAGGATGCCTGCAGAATCATGAGTTCCCTTCCCTGTAACTACCACTGCTGTCTATACGTCTGAGTGGTGGTGCAGCTTTTAAGGGAAATTTGCAGAATCGGAGTGGTTTGGGCTGGCAGCTGCCTTGCGCTGTCCGGTGGGGCCTTTTCCTCTCGTTTCTTAAAGTTGAATGAATTTTTAGTTCATCATCCGTACACTGACTGCTTTTCCTGTGCAGTGTTTTATCTCATTGGGCACAGCGTTTGGTGGCTTTTCCTTGTGTCAGTCTTAAGTTTTAAGGGTGAAACCTTTATTAGGGGACTGACCTACGGCAGCCAAACCTGATCACCTGGCAAGGGTACAGCAGCAGGGTGGAAATCCCCGTGCCCTTTGGTATGTGGCTGTCAGCTCTCAGGTCCAGAGGTTGCTGCTGCTCACATCCAGGAAGGTTTTCTTGGGCTTGGCCCTGCACAGGTCTGGGTCTCAGTCCGTCACAGGGCAAATCATCGCCTTTCAGCAAGGCAGAGGTGCTTTGCTGAGCTGTGACTTTGGCAAGGGACGTGTCGGGTGGTTTGGTGGGTGAGGAGGAGGTGGTGGGGTGCCCCCTTTGGGGTGCCCTGCTCCCACACACGGCCCGCTTTGTGGAGTTGTGAAGCTCCCTTTCTGGTGCCTTGCCTGTTCCAAGCGTGCTGCCGAGGCAGCTGGAGGAGCTGCTTGTTGTACCCAGCAGGGCTGAGAACCTCCCGAGGGACGTCGGCAAGGAACACCCGGTGTTCCCAGGGCTGCACGCTCTGGAGAGCCTTCAGGGGTTCAGACACGTGAGGTCTCGTGGCTCTTCGAGAGGAGATGCGGGGCTGGGCTGGCTCTTAGGGAGCCCGCGGCGATGCTGAGAGTCATTTTGTGATCTTAGCTGCTCGGGGTTTGGTCTGGGCTTGGCTGCTTTTCAGCAAGGTCACCAGATTTCCGCCTTCGTTCTCCTTTTCTGTGGCTGTAGATTAAAGGCAGAACTTAAAATTAACATTCTTGTGAATGGAATTAGACAGAAGTTTCACCACAACTGAGCTTAAAATGCTACCAAATGGCCGTGTTCCTGTTACCACTGGTTCCGAATGCTGCTGGTTTGATGTCTGCTCAGATGGCATCACTAGATTAGGTGCTTTGAATGGACGCTGTGTTTCAGCCAGCGTCTTTTGCCACGTTACAGAAGGTAATTCAGTAAAAATCGGTCATGTGGCCGTCGATACGCATCCTCCACAGGCTGATTAGCCCGTCAGACACGTCCATAAACCTATTAGGGCCAGCATCACGCTATCCGGTCCTGTGCCAGAAACTGCGTCAGGTCTTTCCTTTGTGGTCATATCCCCGCTCCTTGGGGGAGCTCTGGCGGTGCTCACAGCAGCTCTCGGTCTTCACACTCTGCAATAAATTACACAGATCTGTGCTGGAAACTTCCCTGGGACTGATTGTAAAGATAAACTGGGAGGGCACGGGACCTGGTTCCCCCAGAATTTGGGCATGGGGGGTGCTGAAGGCACCTGGCACTCTCCCAAGGGTACAGCCCATCTCTGAGCTTAACCAAGGCTTAACCAAGGCTTATGGAAATGCTCAGAGCTGGGCAGGATTTGGCCTGTGCTGGTGTGACCATAGCTGGCTTCCCTTCTTGTCAGCTCTCCCTCCTTGCTGGCTGGGTGGGGAATCGAGGAGCAGAGGGGGCTGCGGGAGGCCAGCGCATGGCATCTGCTCTCCCTGGAGCTCTTCGTGTGGGGAGGGATCACCCAGAGACTGGTGCTGGCTCTCTGTCCATTCGGGTTGTGCCTAGCACCATCGATAGAGAGCTACAGCAGAGCAAATTAGGGACGGATTATTTTTCCTCATGCGTTACATTCCCTGGATGTTGACATTAGCAGTTGCTTGCGTGTGTAATCAAGGCAAGGTTTTACAGTCTCCTACAACCCCACACCTTCTGGTAATGTTTTTTATAGGTCCCAAATCGAAGCGCAGTGCATCAGCAGTGGAAACATCTCACCTTAAAATGGCTGACAGCTCGCACACTGAAGCTTTTTCCAGCTTGTGCTCTCGTGGTTTTCAGGCTTTCAGTTTTCCTTGCGATGACTGTGCTCAGATTGTCAGGTCTCCTTAAGCACATTTTAGGTGCCTTGGTGACAAAAAGCTAAAAGCAACCTGGAAGAAGGGTGTGCAGGTCCTGTGATCCATCAGCCTCAAGCCCTGGGAGGGGATGTGGATCTGCAAAGCACAAGGACAGAACCAAGCCAGGGCAGCCTGGCGAGCCACTCGCTTCCAGATGGCAAAAATCTGGTGCACACAAGGCAGCCGTGGGTCTCAGCTTCATGGTGCCTTGGTGCCTGCTGCAGGGCTGGTGCTGATGCCCCAGGTCCCTGGCAGCAGCTGCGGGGCTGACCAGAGCATGGCACAACCGAGCGAGCTTCCTCCTGCCCTCTCAGGCTCCTCCTTTCCTTTTTTTGGGGAAAGAGTGAGGTGTCATTTGCTCTGCTGCCCGAGTGTCTGTGCTGCCCGCTGCCAGCTCGCTGTGCACGGTCACCTCCCTGCCCCAGAGCCCCCATGGGGGCATCCCCCACTGGCACCGAGCATCCGTCACCAGCCCCTGCACGTGGCAGCAGCTGCCAGTGAGGATGAATTGGGCTCTGGTAGGGTGAGTGGGGAAAAAGGAGGTGGGCAGGCGAGCCAGGAAAGCGGGTGTGATGTGCATCTGGGTCTAGCGCTTTGGATATTGAAACCAACGAGACCCCCAGCCGAAAGCACGGTTGCCTGGAAGCTCTGGGGGGGAGCCTTTCATGCGGGGGTGGCTGGAGGTATCCAGCCTTCTCCTGGGTTTTGCATCAGTTCACCCAGCGGGAGCAAAATTTGCTGCTCTTTGTTGTTCAGCTGGAGAGCGGAGTGGCTCAGGTGAAGGTTTGGGAGCTTTGTAAAATGGGGGAGATGTGGAAAGGGGGCTTGGGGTGCATGGGATTGTGCAGCCCCTGCCCCCGTGCTGTGGGTGCTGCTCTGCCTGGTCGCTGGCACCCCCTGGGCACTGGGGCTGGGGTCCGGCTGAGACGTGGGAGGTGCAAGGTGCCTCTGGAGAGCTGGGATCCTGCCTCCCTGCTCAGACCCATCAAATTCCACTCGCTGTGGAGAGTCTGACCGTGTCTTTTCTCTCCCAGGTCTCTGATGAACTGGTTATGGGCTTGAGCAAATGAGGTTTGCAGAGGTAGTTGGGAAATGACACTTTTTTCTCGTGATCTTCAGAAAATTCGTAGGGGTTTCATTTTCTCCCACCTACCCACATTTCCTCAAAACTCCTTTTTTAACCCCCACACAGAATAACATCACCAAATCTATTCTCATTAAAATGTTTTACCAGCACCAGTTGTTTTTCCAAGAAAAACTCTAAAATTTCAATCACGGGGGGAGGGGGAGAAAACAACACGGAAAGACTTGTTTTCACTGAAAAGCATGTTTTGACAGGACTATTTCAGCCAGCGCTGATGTTTTGAGTGCATCTATCAAATGTGTGCACTTGAAATCCATTCTATTTTGGCCTCCCAAAAAGGGCTGCGTGTCCCGTGGGCGCTATGGGCTTGCTGCCTCCCTAGTGGCTCTCCCCACCACGTCCCTGCAAGCCCCTCAGCTGGCCGGGGCTGCTGGAGCTTCAGCCCCTTCCCTGCTGTCTGTCTGAGTCCCTCACATCACCCAGCTGCAAGGAGGATGCGTTTCTTTGCATTGAGCTAAGCGAAATGCCTGCTCTTACCATCGCCAGTGACCGTCGTGCTTGCAGCAGTCCCAGGAGTGCCGCACACACCCGAGGCACCTTTTGGCTTTTGGGCTTCTTCTCGGTGCTCTCTGTGCATCGTCCTTTGGCAGAGCCTGGTACAAATCTGTACTGACTGTAGCTGCAGCGTGGGATTTGTCTTCTCCTTGCCCAGCAAACCAGGGCTGTGCAGGCAGCACCAGCACCATGGGCAGGCACGGCCCCTCTGCCTCACCCACCCATGCGGAGAGCCCCCGGGGGGTGTCGGAGAGCATGAAGGAGTAGTCCAGGGAGGGCTGTTAATCCTGGGAGGACTAAGTAAAACACTTATCTGAGAAGCTGAGTACAAGTTCACTGGCCTGCCAGAGAAATAATCCAGTGGAATCAGAGGTTCTCAATTATTCATGTTTTCCAGAATCACATTATTTCTTCCAGGGCCTGTTTTATAAATGCTGCTGCTATTTCTGATGGTAAATAACAATTTTGCATTATTTATGAACAGATTTTTTACAACTGCTGATATTACAGCTGCTGCCAAAGCGCTGGGAAAATTATTATTACTGTTTGTTGTTGTTTCTTTCTTACAATGCGGCCCTCTTGTTCTTCGCATGATGATGTGCCCGGCGCGGTGAGACAGCCGAGCTTCGTTAAGTGCAGCACTAACGAGGAACAGGGCAAATGCAGGCAGTGACACAGGTTAGCACAGAGCTCACGTCTGGATAGGGGAAAGGCCCCTGGACACTGGTTAAATTTGAAGATGGGGGAATGCTCAGCAGGCTTGGGGTGCTGGGGTGGCTGTTTGCAGGAGCTCTCATGCACCTAGGAGAGGATGTTCTCCAGAGACTATTTCTGCTGCTTCTGCTCATCGTTTGTTTCAGATGACACCCTACAGAGAAAGAAAACACCCCACACCAATCCCTCTTGTCTTAGGACTGCATTCTCTTGTAGATCTGCTGCCTTGTTGTCCCCTCCAGTTTGGGGGACAGTAAATGGAGATGGTCTAAGGCAGGTTTGCTAGCGAGACTCTTGCATTTGTAAGCAGCTTCAGTGAGAACAGCCTCTCTCAGCTCCACCCGAGCCTTGGGAGGAAGCAGAGGAGAGGGAAGAAGTGCTGTCTGGATGAAATGCTTCAGGGCAGTCAGGTGTGAGACATCTGGCCGGTGCTTGGGAGAAAATGTATGTCACAGCATTACGCTAAGGTGTGCCGGGAGCTTTCTGGAGGGTTTCCTTGTGGTCGATTCCGCTCCCTTTCACCCCAGCTTTGCTAGCAATACCCGCTGGGAGCGGGGGTGGCTGTTCGGTGAGGCATCAGGCACGCAGAGTGACTTTGCAAAGGCCACAGGCTGCAGGTTATCAGGTGGCTGTGCGGCTGCTGCCACTGTCTGCTGCCTGTCTCGGTCTCGTGCACTCAGTTCTGTGCTGGTACTGCAAAAAGCAGTGGGGCTGCCAGAGCAGGAGCTGTGCCCCAGGACCCTACCTGCTGCTGGTAGGCTCTCCGGAGGAGCGCATGGTCTCTGTGCCTGCAGACGTGGCCTCCGGCTGTGTCCTGTGAGCCAGCAGGGCTTGGAGGCATGCAGGGATCCCATGGGCTGCTGCTGGCAGCAAGTGACGAGATCAGAGATGCACAGCGTGGTGCAAAGGCGTCTGCAGGTCTCGCTGCCTGCCTTGCTCCGAGCCCAGCAAGCGAAACAGCAGCGGCGCTTCCCAGGCTGTGACGGAGCAGGCTCCAGAGCGAGCTGTAATGCGGCTGGTCCCGGGGTTCTGCTTGCTGCCTTTGGTTTGGGAGGGATCGGGGAATTACCTGAGCGTGCAGCACTGGGAGTGGTGCTGACATTGTGCTGTGGCCCTGCTCCTTCGTGCGGCTGGGATGTCAGACAGCCCTCTGGGTGCCGGGCTCGGGGCAGCTGCTTCTTCTCCCCACCCCTGTGAGTCCTGCAGCCCTGCCTGGGAGCAGATCCCCTCCAGGGGACCAGGACAGCAACATCAGCACACAACCATGCTCCTGGCTCTGCCACAGGTCCCAGCAGTGAGTGGCACGACTGGGGCAGCCACCAGCAAGCCCTCTTCCCTGCTGTCCTTAACAGAGCTGGAACTGGGTCACTGGATAATGGGTGCAGGCGCTGCATCCTTCAGCCCCTGCTAAGCCATGCATAAGATTGCCCCGTTTTTTGCATGGCAGCACGGCTACAACCTCTTACTCCATCCTGCAGCAGCCAGGTGAGCTGCTCCCTGTGCCCCCAGGCTACTCCCCATGCCCCAGAGCTGCTCCCCATATTATCCCTGAGCTGCTTCCCATATCCCCGACCTGCTCCCCGTGTCCCCAAGCTGCTCCCCACACCCCCACGCAGCCCTGCCCCTCCAGCAGGCGCTCAGTCCTTCCCAGGGCCAGCCTGCTGAGCAGCTCAATTATCCTCTGTAACTTCATTTCTCTCCGCTCCGCAGTTACACAAGGGGGTTTATTGAGCACAGCCTGACAGCGCAGAGCAGCACAAGCAGAAAGCCTGTGCAGAGACCTGCCTGGCCAATCTGTTTATTTTTTCCTCCCCAGCCTGTCTGGAGAATAGCATCTCTTAAAATACACTGCCAGCCAAGCCACCGAAAGGCAAACAGGCTGGCAGCAGTGCAAGACCAAGGTGCCGTCCATCGGCACATTGCTTAGGGCCACCAAGAGGCTGTGGGTAGGAATGTGGTCTGGGGGGGGACCCAGGTGGTCTGTAAGGTCCCTTCCCACCCAGGCCGGTCTGTGATTCTCTGCTCTGCCTAAAAAATGCCCCGTTGCCATGGAGTCAAACGCGGGGCCGAATCCAATTAGGGTGCTGTTGGAAAACAGTTCAATGTAAGCAGCTGAAGTTGCATTTTCCCCTTCGTTCCGCAGATCTTCTCCATCGTGGTGTTTGGCTCCATCGTGAACGAGTGCTATGTGAACAAGGACAGCCAGTCCCCCGAGCTGCTCTGCATCTTCAACGAGAACGAGAGTGCCTGCAGCTACGGCATCGCCATCGGCATCATCTCCTTCTTTGGCTGCATCTTCTTCTTCGTCGTGGACCTCCAGTTCCAGCAGATCAGCAGCGTGAAGGACCGCAAGCGGGCTGTGCTGCTGGACCTCGGCTTTTCAGGTACAACACTGGCTGTGCTGTGCTCAGCGGGACAGTGCTGGCACCGTGGGGTGTGTGGGGTCGTCACTGTGCCCTACAGCTCCACACCTGAACCCTCTTCTCCTCCCGTGGCATGGCACAGCTCGTGTGCCTCAGTCGGGGAGAAGAGAAGTGGCAGAAGGGCTGTCCCATAGCGGAGAGCTCAGGGGCAGCAGTGAGGTGGTGCCTTGGGGTCAGGGGGGTCCCACTCATCCGTGTTGCTTCTGCAGCCGGGGACGTTTGCTGAGCTGGGACGTGTTTGCTGAGGCCACCCGGGGAAGCAGGGCTTGGTGGTCACATCCCAGAGAGCAGACGGGGCATTTTGCCCTCCCACGTCTCCTGTTTCTGGCTCAAACAACTGTTGTTTCATCAGCTACATCTGGGTCTGTTTTCACTGTGTGCGTGTGTGTTTCTGAACAAAGCAGAAGCGTGCTCCTACAGCGGGAGCTGAGACACCACTGCAGTCCCTCGCCGCCTCCAGGACTGGGGCTTGCAGGTGCTGCTGTGCCTCCGAGGGCTGCCACGGATCTTCTGGGCTGTCCTGAGCCCCTTGGCCTGGGGCTCAGCCGTGTGAACACGAGCGGGCAGGACGTGTTGTGCCAGGAGAGGCCATCCTCCGCTTGGCTGCGCTGGGAGTTTTCTGGCTGAGTTTGCAGCTGATGTGCTCGATTTCCAGGCTCTCGTGTTAGTGAAGTCTGAAGGTGATTTATCCAGCGCGAGCAGAGCTGATGGCTCTCTGCTCCCAGATGGAAACATCCGTCATCACCTCCCTGCTCCTGCCTGTTGTTTAAGGCTGGCCTCTCCTTGCTGGAAAGCTGATTGCCGTTAGAGCTCCGGCGGCCAGCCCTTGTTAGGTGATATTTACAGCCCCGTCCGTGGGGCTCGGTGCCTGCAACCCTTCAGTTCCAACGGGAGGGGAACATCCCCATCCATCTCCTGCCGGGCTGTGCGTGTCTCGCTGTGAGGCTGCGATCCTCCCCTGCCTTTCTCCTTGTAAGAGCCGCGCTCTCCCTGCAAGGTGTGTGTGAAATGGTCCCGGTTCAGTCTCTGCCTCATTCCTCTGCTCTTGCCACACGTTGTGTGCGTGTTTGTGGGCTCAGCAGCAAGCTGCAGAAGACAGGCTTCTGCCCTCCAGAGCTTCTGTCCCGCGGGCATTGCTCTGCTCTTGGCTGCAGCGTTGCACCAGGGGTCTGTCCTAGTCAGTCAACCACATCCACAGCCTCCAAACGGAGCTGTGCTGCCAGCAGTGACTTTTTCCTGGGACCAGGGATCAGTGTGCATGCTCTGGGTGCATCATTTCAGCTGCGTGTGTCCTTCCTCCTCCCTTGGGCCTTTCCCTCTTTAGGCTTCTTGGTAAAAAAAAACAGGTAAATCACTTCCTTGCTGGCAGGAGACCCATTTAGATGCAGGTTGTGCCACTGGGAGCGGCAGCACCCTGCTGGGTCAGCCAGTCTGCTCCTTCCCCTCCCCAGCTAAGCTCCCAAATCAGGCCGATTGAAGCAGCAGTGCCAGCTGTCAGCACACAGTGCTCGGCGTGCCAAGCACCCTCCTGCTGTGGGGGCTTCCACTGGGAAAGTGGGGCTTCAATGGTCGCAGGGGCTGCAGCCACCGTGCCCACCTGCGCTGCCTCCAGCACCCAGGGCATCCAGCTGCTGGGTTCGGCGTCCTCAGAGCCAATCTGTGCAGCTCAGAGTGCAAAGTCTGAGAGCAATTTGCATTAACCATCTCTGTGTTAATCCCTAGGGACCTTGCGGGACTCTCTTAGGCTGTCCGCTTCCTTTTCTCCCTCCCCACCTCTTGATTTCCTCTTACCTCCTTGCCACTGTGCCATCCTCCCTGCATGTAACCTCAGCATTACTGCAGGCTTTAATATAAAAGCTGAGAATACATTTGGGAAATAAGAGGGTGAGGAGCATGCTGGGGTAAGAGGGAACATTGCAGATCAGGCAGCGAGTGGGCGGGATGAGAAAAGAAAGTCCTCGTCCCCTTCGCCTGGATCGCCCCGGTGCCTGCTGCCGGCTGTTATATGGCAGCTGCTGCCTGTGCGGGCCGTGGGGGAGTTACAGTGCGACCCCACAGCTTTATTTCGCTGGAGGGAAGAAGGGCTTGTGTGTGGGATCAGTGCTAGATTGGAGGGATCGCCCCGAGAGCTGTGCTGCTCCTCCCTGGCTGTGCAAGGAGCGTGATTGTTACAAGGTGCCCGAGTTACGGGGCTGTCCCTGCAGTGGGGTGCCCCGATGGGGCAGGGGGAGCTGCGGCTGCTGCAGCCCCTGGAGCCCCTTGGGAGGGAGCACTGGGCACGGGCAGGACCACCACGGCCACGGCGCTGTGCGAGTGGTGTTTGGGGTTTGGGGTTTGCTCTTCCAGCTGCTCCCGTAGACGTGCGCTTGCCTGGAACCAGGCTGTAATTATGGCTGTAACGTATCTTTCCTGGTGTTTGCACTCTGTTGTCTGCAGAGCCTAAAATTATAATTATCTGCTGGCTCCTATATTTCTTCTTAGTGTTCTCCTTCCCCCCAGCACTCGGGAGGGCGCAGAGCTGCAGAGCTCCTCCTGTGCATGGGGCCCCCAGGAGTCAGGATGGGTGCCTGAGGCCACAACAACCCCCTGCCAGCTCAGCCCCTTCCTTCTCAGGGCTGTACATTTCCAAACACCCACTTCCACCCGGTCCTGTGACTACACCGGGGCTGGGTCTAGGTGCCACCGAGCTGGGGGAGCCGCCTGGCCCCTCTGTGGGATGTGACCGTGGAAGTCGTGGGATGGTGACAGTCCCGGCCTGCACCACCAGGAGCAGAGCAGTGGCACCAGGACGGCCCTGCCTGTGCCTCTCAGGAGCAGTTGTGGTCCCGGCACGTGATTCAGGGCGTTGGGAGCAAAGTCTCATCTCACAGGAGTGCTAGCAGAGGGTGAACGCGATCACAAAGGGAAATGGTTCTGGCACAGAAATGAAACCAGCCCTTCCTGGAGCCCTTGGGCGCACACAGGCTGTGTCAGCCCTCCGAGGGGCCTTCGAGGGCCATACTGGGCCTCTTCTGGCCCAGGCCAGGCCCTCCTGGCCTTTGGTCCCCAAACACTCTGAGGCTGGAGAGCTGTGGCAGCCCCCTGTGGGACACTGTCTCCTGCACTGGGACCTGCTGGGGCCACCCTGCTCACCACATGCTGGCCACCCCGTCTGTGTCCCAGACGTATTTCAGGCATGAATCTTCCCATGTCCACATTTTGGAGAGAATCTGATTCCTTAATGGGTGCCAACTGCTGGTAAAGCCTGATTATAACAGACATGGAGGACTTGAAGACATGTGTGGCCTCTGGAGAACAAGCCCCTGAGGTCCCGTTTGTTGCTGAGGACAAGGGGATCATCCCAAAACTGAAAATGCGTCCGCAGAGATCTGGGGTAGCGGACGTGAGCCACGTCCTGCAAAAAGAGGCTGTTTTGTTAGTCTGTGGCTTGGAAAAGGAAAGTTTGGGTGGTCCTGGCTGGAGGGTTTTGTTGCTGTGAGGGCAGGTCAGCATCTCAGGCAGGGCCGGGCTGGGCAGAGCTGGTCAGGAAGCCCTAGGTTTGATGGTATAAGAGGAGGAAACGAGGGCTGTGTTCTCCTGAACCGCAGTGAGGAGCACATTCTGTCTACAAGGCAACGTACACGCTAAGCCCTGTAAATCTTGCAACGTATTTGGATACGTGCATGCATTTTTTATCATTCTTAAAAACAACTGGCAAGATGAAGGGGAATAAAGGCAGCTCCTTTCCTCCCCCTGCAGCCAGCCTGTGCTTTGCAGCCGGCTGCCCCACGGGGCCAGCAGTGCGGCTGCTCATACTGATGTCCATAATCCTTGGGAAGATGCCTGGTAGCTCAGCACCCTGCCTGCTGGGGCCCAGATCCCTGCCTGTGCTGCCCCCCAGAATCGGCACATGGGGTGAGCTTTGTGCTGGGGGCGCTCAGGAAGGCTGGAGGCCCTTAAAACAGCATCGTGAAAGGCTCCAGGTTTTGCAGCTCCTCCTTCCAGCACTGGAAAGCATCGCTGCTGGTTACAGCGTGTGCTTGTGGCTTGCTTTATACTGTTGTGAGCTCCTTGGCATCAGGCACTGCTGTTGGCTGGTGATTAAATTAGGGGAGCTGCAGCCCTATCTTGCTCAGCCAGCCTTGGTTCCAGTAAGAAATAATCAGCAGAGCGTTTTTGCTCAATCCCCCCGAGCCCAGCAGGGCTGGAAGCAGGAGCACAGTCAGCGGAGGGCAGCAGCGAAGAGCAGAGCTGCCTCCTGCCTGGCATCCGTGCACCTCCACGGCTCAGCGGCTCCTGCCATGCTGCAGAGCCACTCTCCAGCCCCCTTTTTTTTTTTTTTTTTTTTTTTTTTTCTGGTGGTTGTAAATCAGCCTCTCCTAAAACAGATCTCTTTGGACCACTCCACAGGCCAAGGTACCCAAGATTGTTGTCACTACTTGAAAATCTGGATGGCAGTGTTTGGTCGTCAGCACGCAGATCAGTAGGGTCTGGCAGCAGAGGTCCTTGTCCTTATTGTGGGCAGTAACAGCACTGACCGGCTCTGTTCTCTTTTAGGTTTCTTGTCCTTCCTGTGGTTTGTAGCCTTCTGCTTCCTAGCAAACCAATGGCAACGGACGAAAATGGGCAAAGGGGCTTTGCAAGGAGCAGACGCTGCCCGGGCAGCAATCGCCTTTTCCTTCTTCTCCATCGCTGGCTGGGTGAGTTCAGCTTCTGCATTTTTCATAAATCCTATCCTGATTTTTTCATAAATCCTATCTTTATCCAGAGGTGCAGCATGGCAGCCTGGCACCCAGGGCATCATGGTGTGAGCACTGCCTCCTGCTGTCACCGCCAGGGTCTGAGCCCTGTACTGGGCAGATACCAGTCAGTAGCTGGGCGTTGTGCTGGTGAATATTCACCATGGCACGAACGTAATGTTTGCAGAAGAAACAGCCCAACTCAGAGCTCAGCTGGGGAGAGGAGAAATGAAACCTGCTGAGGGCTCAGCGCTGAGCTGGAAGGAGGAATTTGGGGCATGGTTTGGAGAAGTGAATCCTGGTGGGCCAGTGTGGAAGTAACCTGCAGTCCCTCCCCCTGCCCCTCTGCAGAAAGGTGAAACTTGTGGTTCCTTACTGGGAAACACCAGCTCTGTTCCCCTCTCCCCGGGGAATTCCAAACTTCCCCTTCTTCTGCCGCTGGGAAGTTGCATTTCCATCGAAAACACGTTGCTGGCCATGAGCTGCCCCCATTTCAGGGCCTTGGTAGAGACCCAGGGCCTTGTTCAGACCGTGGTTTGAAGCAAATGAGTCCCCAGGAGAGGTTTGCCACGACGAGCCTGTCCCACGGGACTGCGGGGGATTTGGGCAGCCCGCAGGCTCAGCAGCTCAGCCCCGGGGGACGCCAGGCTGGGTGCTCCTCTGCCCTCCCCAGGGGGACTGAGTGCTGGGGTGGGGGCTGCTGGGACCCCCTGTGCACACCTTTCGGGCTCTGTGTGTCCCACATCATGTCCCATGATGACCATGGGAGGTAGAGGGACATCTGCCAGAGGGTGCGTGGCCCCGCAGCAGCCCCGTGGGGGTCCCTCACCTGCAGCCGCCAGCCCCTGCCTGTGCCCGCAGTGCCTGCGCCTCCTGGGCTCAGCACCTGCTGGTGGAGCTGGGGCTGGGGCCAGGGAAAATAACCCGTGCTTGCCAGAGGGCCATGTGTGGAGGAGCAGAGGGAGGCCCCTGGGTCATTTCCACCCCCGCTCAGGCTGTTTGCAGGCGGAGAGCACGCGAGATGTGCGCTAATTCCGTAGCGCCTTAAAAGAACTGGAGCAAAAACCTGCCTGAGCCTTTCCAGCAGCAGCAGCCTGCTTCCAGTTACTCGCCAGTTTTACGGCTCCCCACTCTGTTATTATCCAAATATATCTCCTTTAATCCCAGCTCCCCTGCAGCTCTTAGCCACGGGCAGATCCTATCGCTGGGTTGCCGCACTGCCTGCTCAGCGCAGCCGCTGCCAAGGGAGCCACCCTGCCCACCCCACAGCATCCATCCACTGCCCCATCCCACAGCATCCATCCAGTGCCCCATCCCACAGCATCCCATCCACTGCCCCCATCCCACAGCATCCCATACACTGCCCCATCCCACAGCATCCCATCCACTGCCCCCATCCCACAGCATCCCATCCGCTGCCCCAACAGGCTGGGGGCTGGCAGCAAGGGCTGCTCCTGGGCTGCTCCCACCCACCGGCAGTGGGGAGGGCTGGGGGACGCCGGTCCCCACCTGCAGCAGCCCCTCCACGTGCCTGGTGACCTCGTGCTCCTCTCCCTGGAGCCAGAAAGTCGGGTGCTCTGCCCGATCCATGTGTGGTGCACAGCCTGCCGGCAGCATTTGCGGTGGCTGGGAGCTGTTCCTGCTTAGTGCAGGCAGTTTTTTTTTCCCTGAGTCTGTCATTTATAAACTAATTGAATTGTTAATGAAACCGCCTGAAATAAAAGCAACGCGGTGCTCTCGCAGCTCTGCCGCTTGCTTTTCCCACGATTTGCGACCTGAATACCTGCAACCTGGGAGAGGGCGAGGGAGTCTCTGCAGGACTGACCTATTTCCTTGGCCTGGGACCCAACAGCGGGGAGCTGGAGGGCTGCGTGCTGGGGAAAGCAGGGTCCTGGTCACGGTGCTGCGCTCACCCCAACCCTCTCCATCCCTCGGCAGGTCGCGCTGGCGGTGAAGGCGCTGCAGAGATACCGCCTGGGGACTGACATGTCGCTCTTTGCCACCGACCAGTTCACGGCTGACCCCAACGCCTCGTACCCCGGGTACCCCACCGGCAGCGGCATCGAGAGCACAGAGACCTACCAGAGCCCCCCCTTCACCGAGACCTCAGACGCCAACCCGAAAGGTTACCAAGTGCCAGCATACTGAGGGGCGAGGGTGCCACGCGGCCGTGTACAGATTGAGCACGTCCTACGGTGCAAGTACAGTTAACCGGTTGATTGCAAATGTATTCAGTACCATTTCCTTAATGTGGCAAGTCAGTGCTGGGTTCCTTACTATTAGCTAGTTGTGCAGTGAATTCTGTACAGTGGTATTGGTTCTTGTCTTACCTGTCCAAGGGTTTTATAAAAGCAGTGTTCCCTCTAAGTCAGAAGGCAGGAAGGTCGCTACCACAGGTGGCAAAAGACAAATAAGTACCTGCTCTGAGGCTCGTTTTAACAGCAGGCAATGGGCGCCGGGTTCCAGTGAGTGCCTAGGAAAGCCAACAATACCTTCTCCTGTTAGAAAACACAGTAGCTGATGAGTTGATATTTATCTCGTTCTTCCAGAGCTAACACAGAACTGGTCTCGTTGCAGCGAGCGCTGGGGCGGCCGGCCCCGGGCTGGGAGCTGCTGCGGGGCTTTCGTGTACAGCGCAAAAACAGAGCCCAAGGAAAGTGCCAAATTCACAAAGACATAAAGCGGTGTCTGTGTTAACTTTTGTTTGTATATAGTTACTGTACAAAAACTAACCACGACAACCAAACAGGTGTTTCAAACGTAGTTTAGGATGCAAGCAGCACGGGGGCGGAGGCACAGAGGTTTGGGGTTTGTGTTGGTTCTCCAAACGGCTTCTGTGCTTCAACACGGGTCTGGCTGAGGGCACGAAAAGTTGCTGTTTGCAACTCGCTTTGGAAAACAGTTCAGCAATAGTTGTCTGCTAATTAGAAATAGGCTTGTACCAGTGGAAAATCTGGCGTGTTACAGTTCCACTTCTTCATCGGGGGTTGTTAAAGTTTGCAAATTTACCAGTAGTTACCGATTGGCGATACTGAACACTTACTCACTCTCAAACTCCGAGTTGCCATCACAAAAGGTGTGGGTGTCTCAGTGACTCAAAGTCTAAGTCAATTAGGAAGCAGCATACAACGTGTATTTTTGTACAGGGAGCAACCACCATCTGTCGTAATCTGCAGCAAAAACCTCAGGTGTGAACGTGTGCTTGGCACTGCGGGCTCCGGCAATGCGGAATTCAAAGGGAGCACTGAAAAGGCTCCCTAGGCTCTGAAGTCCATCCCGGGGACGCATGCAGCCCATGTTTGCACATAGCAGCAGAATGCAGCTCACGAAAACATGCCCAGGACAGAGGCTGAGTTTTGGTTTCCAGCTGCTGAATTACAGCCTTGGCTAAACCAAGGAAATACGAAAATCCAGTAGAGCCTCGTCAGCAACCTGATGGCTTTCAGGCACCGGGGTGCAGGGGGCAGGGAGCTGAGCTGCTTGCTGCTAGGATTGAAGCAGAGTTGGAAGTGCACCGCCTCGGTGGAAGCTCTGCCCTCAGCAGCCCCGGCTCTCCTGGCTCGCAGTGCCTGGCTGCTGGGGAGGGAGGTTTTGCCTTGCTGCTTTATGCTGGCAGACGTCGTGTGTTGCCTTCTGACCTCCTGACAAGCAATAGTTAAGGGACTGCCACAGCTGTTCTTGTAGCAAAAAAAAATAATAATAATCCAGCAGTTTTTTGTCATCATCATTAACACAGCTCATTTCTGCTGCAAAATTGCAAATAAATGCATTAATTAATAAGCAGCAAACCTCATCACAGGCAGTCATTACCAGTGACAAAAACGCATAACTTGAACCCCCTGCTAGTTAGGTCAGCTCCACATGTGCATTCGCAGCGAATGCTGCCAGGACTGGATCCGGACCTTCACGCTCGCCGGGTTTTCTCTCCCAGCACCTCCCAGCTCAGACACTTCTCCTGCAGGGCCGTAGTGACTCGGGGACCTGGCAGCCCACAGCGGTTTCCACCGTGGCTTCTCTCTCCGATGCCAGCACCAGAGGCTGCGCATCTCCCTGCCCGCACCTCTGCACCCACTTTTTAACTCTAAGGTGTTATAAAAGAGCCTCGCCTGCTGCCTGCAGAGCTGCCCTCAGCAGCGAGGATGCCAGGGAGAGAGCAGGAGGATGGCACAGTGCCTGACCCGAGTGTCTCCTGCCCGGCTGATGCAAGAAGGGTGACCCAGGGGCATCTGCACTTGGCCTGTGCCAGTCAGGCGGTGAGAAAGCCGTGCACGAAGTAGACCAGGGACATCCAAACACCAGTACAGTATAAGCCTAAATTCATTATGTGACCCCCCCCTGCGATTTTTCTAGAGCCAGTCTTGCTGACAAAAAAAAGGCAAAAGATTTTAATACAGGGTACAGTAGAACTGTAGCAATATTTTCCTTAGAGGGAACACTGAAATTTTAGCAGCACAAACAGTACTTGTGTTAATATTTTAGCAAAATTATAATCAATTTAAATGTTTAAATTGATTGTATGTGAGATAATGTTTGTTCGGTACATTGTATTTTTTCTAACTATATAACTGTTCCAGAGTTTCCTTGTAACCGTAAAGAACTAAAGTTCTGTCTGACTGCGAGAAGTGTCCTGATCAGTGGTGTAAACGTGCTGAATATTACAACATCTGAATGTACGCACCCCAGGCCTACATTGCATTTCTTTCCTTTCCACCCCTTCCACCCGGTGGCAGCGGGGCACAGGATGGCTGCACCCCCCCGCACCCCCCCGCTGCCACTGACCTGAGAGCAGCTGTGCCACGGGTACCACAACAGCACAACTGTGACTCCATCCCTGGGCCAGGCACGGTTGTTCTTCTCAAGGTCAGCTTCTTTTTACAGTCATTGCTCCCCGAAATTCATCAGCAAATGGCACTTGGCGCTGTGTGTGCAAGGCCCTGGATGTGCTGTGCTAAGAGGAGAGGAGGAGGAAGAGGTTTGGGCACCTGGGAAGGTTCCCGGCAGGGATGAGGCAGAGCAGATTGCTCCTCGAGTGAACTGGAGCTGGGAATTACATCCTTGGTCCAGCCACACCAACGCCACCTGGAGAAACCTTCACTTGCCTCCCGCGTGGTGCCGCTGGGAGGGAGCCTTCTGCTGCAGAGAGGAGCCAGCAGCTCTCCTGTGGCTGCAGGGTGGGCGCTGCCCTGCTTCCGTGGCACGAGGGCGGGCAGAAAGCTGGGCAGGCATCCCACAATTGATGTATTTTTTTCCAGGCAACAGCGATGAGTTCACTCCCGAACAGTCGCCCCTCAGGCTGCGTCAGCCAGACAGGATGGGAAAAAATGTAATTAACGTGGCACTGCAACACCTAAGACACACATGCCTTGGAAACAGCATTTACCCACCTTGGAAGCAAAACCATGTTCTGTTTCGTTGGCAAGACTGTTGATGAACTCCTGTGTAACTCCCTGTCCCCCAGTGACAGCAGGGGAGCCCACACGGCCCTGCTGAATTAAAACATGCTTAATTAAAGGAAGCGTGAGGCACCGGCCCTTGCCCTGGCCAGTGTTGGTGCATTACCAGTGGTACCAAATCCTGTTTCCAAGCTCTCTGTGAGACCCCGCAGTGTCCCCGCTAGCCGTTCGCTGTGTTAGTGGTACCGTTATAGTGTCAGTGACTTGTCAGGCAGACCAGTGTGTGCAGGTACAGACCGTAACTAAATATAACCTTATGGGCTCATGGTTAGAGAATTGCTAGATCCCTCGGTGTAACGCCTGTAGTATCTTCCTCGAGGTTTGAGTATTCTTAACATCAGTCTTCATCCTTCTTTCACCTGCTTTTTCTCCCTGTGGATTCACTGTGGTAGACAGTAGCTGCTTTCCTCGTATCTATCCACACCAAGTCTTAAAAGCATGCCTGAATTTTGCTGTGAATTCGTGCCATGCCAGCTGCTACCCTCATGCTGTTCCTGCAAGCTGTTTAATATATCCTCTGTTCTAGAGATCTCCAGAAGCCCAGCAGCTAACTCAAGCTTGCAGAGGGCAGGACTGTGCTGCTCTCAGGCTAGCGTGCCAAAAGCTTCTACATAGTGTTAGCATTGAATTTGGGTGTAAAGAAGAGAATCTGAACAATCCTGTAGCTTTCCTGGAGATTTATTCTACAAGGTCATCTTGCTCCAGGAGGTTCTGTTGTGACAACACAGATATTTCTCATTGCTGAAGTTAAACACATTGTGAGGGGTTTTTTGTTTTTATGAACTTATAGTTTAAGCACATCAAGAGTATTTGAAAGCAAGATGTTAATTGGAAATTGTTCCCAACATTTTAAGCTATTCCTAGGAAGATGGAAGCTTTGCTTAACTGATACTTAGCAAAAACATCTCCCCCCAACTGCATGCTTCTAAATCTCATACAGATTAAGTCACGTCTGTGAGCAGTTGGATTTTACTCGCTGTTTTGCCAAGGCACTTTGTAAGATGAGTTTCTTGTCAGGCAAATTGCAGGTAGCTACACAACAGCACTGGGAATTAGTTCATACTACAACAGTAACAGTTACTGCATTTTTTCCATCACCCAGCCATTCTTTACTGGGGTATCAATACCCATCTCTCTCCCCAGCCAGCACTGTCCCCTCCAAGCACATATGGCTGGCTCTTTCTTTGTTCTGCCTGCTGCAGCTATGAGATCATTTAAACAGAATTAAACCAACTGCAGTCATTGTCTATTCATTAGTAAAATCACATCATTACTTATGTGGAATCAGTATTTCTCTCTATAAAAGCTACTGTATATATTTGCAGACTTCCTTTCCGCCTTGTTTTCCTGAAGCGCAGCAGATGGATGTAGCTCCACTCTGTTTTATTCATAGTACTTTCCTAGATTGCATTTTGAAGCTGTGTGTCAGAAGACCCTCCCCGCCACCAGTGAGGCTCAGAAAAGACCTTCACTGTATCGACTTGAAACCCAAGTTCAGCTGCCTGTATTTTGTTGCAATACGCATTTAAACCTCAGATTCTTTACAAGTTTTAATAACAAACTGATACCAAATGTGGTTTGCAGATTTCAGTTTTTTGCAGATACCTCCGTATAAGCAGACCGCTTCAAAGAGTTGCAGTTGTCACTAATCTTACGTGCATTGTAGTATAAAGTGGACTGTGTATGAAAATAAGTTAAAAATGTTTACAACTTTTGTATATATATAAATATATAAAAAATATCTTTTGAGAGAATGTGTGATTATGTATTTTCAGTGTCTGTGTACCAACTGCAACTTATTTTCAATAAAGAGTTTAAAATGAAAAGAAGCGGCCTGAAAAAATTTGGTAACACTTTATTTAACCAGGTGAACACAGGGAACAAGGGAACTGCATCAGTTCAGAGATAGATCAGAGATCAATCACCTCGAGGAAACTTACAGCAGCACTTCGAGTTCTCAACCTGCCAGGCGGGAACTACGGATCTGCTAATACAGAAGAAATTAACTGAAAATAACGGGAAGACATAAAAACTCCTGGAGAGTATATGCATTTTGTTTCCTCTGAATTTTACAAACCAAAGGAACATACAGGGGGGAAAAAAAAAAGTTGACGTAGATCCATTGCTGACTGGATGTGGCATGGGCAGGTGGCATCGAAAGTGAAGCACCCAAGTGCCAGCACAGTCAGGTCTGTTGTGGGTCGTGGTAGTGTCACGGGCATCAGGCCCGGCTCTGCTCGAGAGGAACCCGACTCGAAGCAGGAACATGGAAGCATTACTAATTGCAATATATTCATGCATTTTATAAACAGCCATGCAGCCAATCCTCCCCTCCCCACTTCAGGGCATGCAGTCTGGCCCCTGTGCTGTATACAACACGCTTAGGTATTCAAAACAGCCTTAATTATTTGGAAAAGAAACCAAAAGCACTTTGCAGCCTGACAGCAAGCAAAAAATAAGTAAGTATAAGGCAAGAAAAAATTTCTGTAGCCAGGACTAGCTCTTTAGTAATAGTCTGAGCTCGTGTTCATATAAATGCTTATATAAAAGCAGTATTTTATCACTTAAAAATTACATAAATTAACTTCAACATGTTAAAATAACTAAACCTGGTCTGCAAGGATGGGCAAGAATCAGACACTTATAGCCGTGAAAGTGCACTGCAGGGAGGTCTCGTCACTCCATCGCATCAGAGCTGCTGCTGGAGGAGTCACTTCAAACGAGGAACAGATTCAACTCCCATTTCCTAGAGGTGGAATTTATAGATGACAAGCAACAGAAGCAAAGCTACTGCAGACCGATATCACCAAGGGAGGTACAGGATGTAAACACTCCATACAGTCTGAACAAATTATCCTTGTTAGTGTAGACCACTGTAAACAGATAAATGCACTTAAAGGCACTGCAGATAAACATGGTCAGTGATCAGCAGCATTTAATGTCCCAATACGCTGTTGCTTGGAACTACCACCATTAATACATCCAAGAACTTAGAAACATGGCAGTCATTAAATAAAATTACTGTGAAGTGTGCTTTACAGGAAGTAAAGCTTTAACATTATGATTCTACATGCAGTGCTACAAAATAAGTTTCTTTAAAGAACATGTTACATAAAAGGTCAGAGGCAACTTCAAACCTCAGGTTCAACTCATGACACCGATCAGTCCAATTCTTCAAGTAGTAGAATTAACTCAGTTTTCAAACAGGAATATTCTTTGCTGCAGCCCAATATTTATAGACACACAACTGAAACGGTCTCATTCACTGGTGAGTAGGATCTTTTCCTTTTAGTAGGATCTTTTCCTTTTCGGCATCTTTGCACCCCTGACTACTTCGATTTCCATGGTCACAGAAATAGCACACAAATCAGAATATACGGGAAGCCACTGCTGCTTCCATTCATTTCAGTGACAAAATCTCCCCCCACCCCCCCACAAAAGAAAGAAAAAACCCAAACCAGATGCATATTCCACTACTGTGTCCCCTGTCAGTCGTCAGATCAGAAAGCATTTTCTCAGCTATTGCGTTACAGGAGAAAGGTGGCCCCCACCTGCCCACCCTGCGATTTTGCCCTAATTCTACTCAGGCATTTTGGAAGCTCAAACTTTGGGTGTTAATTAGCTACGGTGCAGTCCAGTGATCCCTTTGCACATTATTTATGAACAGCACTGAGAGGGCTCTCTAACAGTTACCTGCATATGAGTACTCAGCTGGCAGTGGCTCTCAGCCACACTACACTGTCAAACCTCATTCCAAAAAGTGCATATTCATAGACAAACTCTTTTATTGGTCTTCAGAAAAGCTAACTTATGATTCTACTGATTGCTTGTAAAGAAGGGAACTCCTCATCCTCAATATGCAAAGCTTTATGGGTGACAATGTCCTGCTGAGTTAGTACTTGCTTACATGTTGGGCAGATGCAGCAGTCAAGATCAGAGTTGGAGTCCGTTTGCCAAACGTGCTTTTTGTTCTTTTTGGACTTGTTTGAACTTTGCTTTTCTTTGATTCTGAAATCATTGTGAGCAGAAAGCAGTTCTTGTTGCTTAACTGTGTCCGGCAACAACACCAACAACTCATTAAAAATTTTCTTGAAATTATCCCCAAGCAGTTCTCGGCAACTTTTGTAATACTGTGCTGCAGAAATCAGCCCCTTCAGTGAAAAGAAAATTGGAACAGTTAGGAATTTAAAAAGAAAAAGAAAAAAGTCCCATTCATCTAAAAATG